CTCCCCCTCTTCCATGTTCCCCCAGAACCATCGGTCCCATTGTTTTCTCCTCCAGACTGTTCATCCAGCCAATCTTATCTAGATAGACCTGCAGAGATAGTAATATGCACAAAAACAAGACATAGCAAGACAACGCAACAAAAGAGAACACAATGACAACAAAGAAAACCAATGACCAAAATAAATAAAAAAGAAAACAACAGAAAAACCTGTGAATAGTTAAAGGTCTTTTTGTTGACCTCTAGGAGCATCCTCCAGTTGAGTTTGATGGGGTGCCAAGCTCTGGGCCCAAAGTCTATCATTTGAACTCCCTGGTGACCTCCCTGCTCCGTCCCACCCCCACCCCCCCACCCGCTGCTCTGCTGCAAACCTCAGGGTGGTGGGGTTTGACCAGGCCAATCCCCACACTGTGTCTCCAGTGTTGTCCCCCCTAGCACAATGGGTCAGCAAGGTATGTCGTATCTCATAGTGGGGCCGGTCATATGATCCACTCTGTGCATTCAAGCCATGGTATTTTCAATCATGGCACATGCATGTAAATGTTGAAACATTTAAATTCTGGTGCTGGTTAAAATGATTGAAAGTATCATGACTGCCAAAAGAACAAGCAACTCTGTCTTGGAAAAAGTACAGAATGCTTCTTAGAGGCAAGGATGGTGAGGCTTTATCTTCACGTATTTTGGACATGCAATCAGGAGAGACCATTCTCTGGAGAAGAACACCATGCTTAGTAAAACGGAGTAGCAGTGAAAAAGGTCCTTCACAAGATCGATTGACCCAGTAGCTGAATCAATGGTCTTGAACATGAGAAGAATTCTCAGACTGGCACGCAGGACGCTATGGTGCTTTGTTTCACAGTAATAGGGTAGTGAGAAGTCTGAACTGAGCAGAAGGCACCTAACAACAACAGCAGTCGCAAATGGGAACCATGCCAGCATGTGCCTGTGATGTTAGATGAATGTGAAACTAACATGCCTTTTAATCCAATATCTGTGAATATCTTGCATTTTAAGATGGGAGCAATGCTAAATATTTCCTCCATATATCCGCACCATAGAAAAAAAGTCTATTTTTAATAATTCTGAAAACATTGAGAAATGAATGGCATGCACTTAAGAGACCCACAGCGTATCACTGGAGAGGCAGCAGAAGACAGCATGAGTAGGAAAATAAATAATATATTTAATTATAAACATAGAATTGATATTCATGTTAAATAAATGACTCAAAACTTTGTTATAACCAACCTTTAAAATAAATTAAGGACAAATCTAATGATTTTTAGGTTAGGAAACATTGTAGCATTTTAAGTAAATATTCATTTAAATCAGGAAGCTAACCAGAGAACTATGGAGTGAGGGATAAAGGGTGGAGGAAAGAAAGGCAGGAAGGATAGAAGGAAAGAAAGAAGGAAGGAAGGAGATTCTACAAGTTGAATTTCCCTTCCCTAAATTATGCCATGTTTACAACTATTTGAATTAGGCAATGATGCTATTTACATTTTCACACTACTAGTGTTGATGGCCTAGTGGCTAAGTCTTGGGCTTCTAATTATATGATCAGAATTCTAAACCACCAGCCTATTTGCTGGCGAACAAACAGGACCTTCTACTTCAGTAAAATGTATTCTTTCAGAACCCCACGGGGCAGTTCGACTCTATCCTCTGGGGTGGTCAGAGGTGGTCATTTGTGAGTGCGTTAGGGGTCTTACCTCTCAACATAATCGAGTAGTCGGGAACAGTGATTTGAAGCTGGCGCATCATGACCTCCCACGGCATAGAGGAAACCATCACACGTGGCCACACCAACCCCTCCTCGCCTCTTGCACATTGGAGCACACATATTCCACTTGTTGGTATGAGGATCATAATATTCCATTGAGCTCAAACAGGAACTTCCATCCCGACCTCCAACAGAGTATAACCTACAAACAATGCGGAAATGATTCAATGATAGAATCGGGATGACAGAAATTATGAAAAATAAGTGTCTCTTCTATGTCCATTTCAATCACAATATCAATCTAAAATGCTTTAGAGATATATTACTTGGAATAGATTTTTTAAAAGGCAATATTTGAAATACTAACTGTGCATAGGTTTTTATTATTCTAATACACCATACATTAGATTAAATAGAATTAGGCAACTATCTTTTTTTTTTAGCCTCCACTTTTAAGGAGTGTTGTGGAGTGAAATACCTTAATGTGACTCTTCTCCCCATGTTTCTGTAAATCCCACCCAATGATTGGGTAGGGCTCTGCCAGTAGGATATGTCTAACTCTAGTACATGTGTTGGTGGGTTTTCATCACAGCTCACTGGTTATAAGGAGGAACCATTCTTTAAAGCAGCAGAAGGGAGATACACCCAGGACATCATACAAGCATTTTCTAGATCTCTTGTTGAAGTGGCAGAAGCCAAGACTGGAGGCACCGGAGTCTGTGGCACAGAGACTCTTGGGAGCAGCACTGAGACTCAGGGATACAGTTCCCTCATCTGGTTTGAGAGTATGGAATTGTGAAGCAGAGCAACATGCAGGTTTTCTTCCTGACCCTCAGAGGGAGAAGCCAGGGGACCTTGTGGCTGAGAGGCAGGGGACTGGAGAGAGATGTGGTGGCTGGCTGAGGGGAAGTGTTGTGATGGACCAGTGACTATATCCATACAGTTGACTGAACCTGACAACTTCCCCAATGAAACCCCATGATTGTGAATATTGTCTGTGAATTCTATGTGGTTACTACAACTATTAGACTAAACATAGAAGTAGAATGCTATGGGAAGGATGGTTGGCTTGGTGTCCGCATAGATAGAGAAGGATGGACCTTGGAGGCATTCCTGATCCTTGCCTCTTGGCAATATGGAACCCAGAGGAGGTCAGAGATGGCCCTCTGCTGTTTATGGCAAGGAGCTGTACATATTTAAATTGTTTGTTGGTAATATAAATAACATATTAACTTTTGGTAAAATTTAGTAATGACATTTTAAAGTATAGAAAAATATATTTAACTGCATTTTTTTCTTGAAAATAATCGTAGTTATTATTCAGCAATCATTGGTCAGTGTATAAGTAATGTCTGCCTTCTAGTCTTTCCTTACAATCAGAACACTAAATAAATGTAATAATCTAAACAAGTACTTTTACAACCATCGGTTCTTAATCAGTGTCTGGGCTCTAGTTAAAAATATACAAATAGATGTGACTTTAATAGAAAAATAAAACTAAATAATACATCATTACTCTGATCAATATAATAATGCTGAAATTTGGTAAATACATTCATTTTCTCATACAATCATGCACTATAAAATGTCTATTCAGGAAACAGTAATATGCATATACATCCATAGTTCCATAAGGTTGTATTGGAGTTCATCAGTCCCATTATGAGAACAGCTGGTAGTGAATGCAAGAGCATCCAGACTATACCACGCGCTTCCTGGACATAGTATGTGTACCTCTCTTCTATACAAAGTGACTGCCTTGTCAGGATATAACAGTATAGTGCATGATGATACATGTGTGTTGATAGTTATAATTGATGTCTGCAGTACTGTTTTGTGCATGCACTGTGGTGTAGTTTCTATTTAAAAAATACCACTTAACTGTATGCTGTGATTCATGAACACCAACTTCCAGTCTCTAGCATTGTTCATATCTAGAATGATGAAATGTTATCATTCTGCTTAGTTTTCTTTTTAAAATGCTACCGTGAAATATGTCATAGATCCCAAAGGTTGCAAAACCAATTTAGTGATTTCAGTAACAAAGGACAGGGACATATTGATTTGAAGTGAATCTAAAGGTTACTAAACAACATGAAAGTGGAAAATCGGTGAGTATTATTTATTGTGGTATAGGCATGCTACATTATATAATCACAAAGGGGTCAAAAACAAAGAAAAAATTCCCCAAGCAGTTAAAGGAAACATTCCACTGAAAGCTACAAGGCTAACAATCATTCCAAGGTAGCTTAGAGCACAGATGGAAAAATTGTATATACATGGATTGAGGACCAAACACAAAAGCAAATCCCTCTCATGCAGTGACAGTCATGGCTAAGCTTGTTGGAAATGTTTAAACAAAAAGCAGGACCAGACTACAGATTGGTGCGTGAACAATGTCCAAATCAACTAATGTCCTGTTTCACAGACTGTATTGTGGGCATTAAGAAACACATGATGTTAATCATTTTGTTAGTAATCAGCGTGATAGGAACCCAGGAAAGTAACTGCTGTTTAAATGACCAGAAATGTCATCTGCTTTCCTGATTAAATAAGTCTTGCCTATTTCATGTATTCAAGAAGATTTGTTCCCATAAGATATAGATTTGCCATTTACTCAATGCACTTATTTATTCAAGGAATTCTTCAACAAATATTGTTGAAGGCTTAGTTCATGTCACATACTATTAAGTTTATGATTATATCCATGGGCAAAGTGGGAAAAATCATTTTATTAACTTCTATTTGGAGTAGATGAATAATACTCACAGTAACTACAAACATTACACAGTACTTTAGAAGGTGCTAAGTGCCAGAGACATAGGGGTGTCGTGATGGAGGATCAGGAGTGTAACCCGTGGGAGTGAAGGTGGGGGTTGAGTATTAACTACATGAGTGATATTTGTGAAAAAAAAAACTAAATAAAGTTGGTAGAGGAGATATATTTAGATATATATGGGGGGTGTTTGATATAGAAATTTCTCATACCATGCATACTATATTGTTAGGGAAATTTATTTCCCTGCTTTTAGTTTCTAAACAAACATACAAAATAAAACCAAATCCATGACTTTGCTGTCTGACCCGGGGAGAACCTAGTGGACAGGAGAGACGCCCCACAGGGACTCCAAAGGCTACAAATCTGCATGGATGAAGACTGCCATACCCCTCTCTTGTGGAAAGACTGGTGGCTTCAAACTACTGAGTTGCTGGTTAGCCGCTGAGCACTTAAACTATTGTGACAATATAGTTTCTTCCCTTAAAAATACACAGGCCATATTATTTCTTGGCATATACAATCTTTTCATAGCTGTTGCTAGGTTTGTTGAGTCCATTCTGATTCATAGTAATAGTGTAGAGTGGAACTGCTCAATAGGACTGCCTAGGTGAAAAGGTCTTTCCTCCCAAAGAACTGCTGTGAGTTCAAATCCCAAACTTTTATTTATCAGTCAAATGCTGACTCCTTACACTACCAGTGATCATCATATTCTATTGTGAAATATCTTTAAATATGCTATTTTAAATATACTATTTTAAATATACTATTTAACTAGATTGCAAATCCTGGAGACATATTTTAAATAAGTTTAAAAGCTATTTATGTTCCTTACTACAGCTCCATACCATGATAAAATATTTCTGATTGCCCAAGTGTTCCTTTATGAATGTAATGCTCCTTTGCTTGATTGTGCACAAGTTGTCTACAGCTCTTAATCTTACAAAATGTTCGTATTAACAATCAGAAACATTTTAAAGGGACTGTATCAGACAATTTAGCTTCCAACAGCACCCAGAAGTGCAGTAATTATTTACTCAGACGCTTTTTATTATTTTAAACACTCCATGAATTCTGAAGGGCATTGATTTCTCTGTTTCATTTAAAGTGAAGATGTAACTCAAAAGATGCATCTTACTACCTTGAGATATTATTATTAAGATTTAACACAAACATCTTTGCAGAAATTTCACCTATTGGTTAAGTAACTTTAATACGAGGTAATTTGCTCAGTCCCTGGTACATAGTTAGTGTTTGTTTGCTCTAAAATATATCCTCTTTTTCTTCCATTGTTTCAAAGGAAATATTAGTTTTCAAGGGGCTCTATTTGCTTATGCACATTACCCTGATAAATCATGCTATTATTTTACTTGAAAATAGTTTCTCTGGTTATAAAATTATTTCACATCAACAAGAAATCTATTTTTTTTCTAAAATTCTAAAAGAATAATAATGTTAAACTTATTGCTTAATTGTGTACAAAGAGTAATGATAAATTATTTGGATTCCACAGGTTAAATGAAATTTGCTTAATAAAAATTATCCTTACTTTGCAAGAAGATTTAATATACTTACTTTGCCTGTGAGCTAATTATATTTAACATTTTAAAAATCTGGGATTATAGAAATGATATGCTATGATTATTAAAAACACTTCTATTATCAAATCTGAATATTATTCTGTTTATCATTTACTTTTATTTAGAAATAAAGTGTACTTTAATATTCCAAGTGTAAGACTTATTTTAGATAACTGATTCTATTATAGACTACTATTCATACAGTTCTCTTCCATCCTCATGGCACTTCACATGAAGGATCCAATGGTTTAAGGTCTGATACAGGCAACCTGACAGCTTCTTTTGAAAAATAAATTTTGGTATCTGGTAGACACTATTTTATAAATTTCTTTTAAAAACCTGAATAGATTATGGATATATATATGAGATTTCTTCATTTGACCTATATTGTGTCTATTTTTATGACTTTCATGGTCTACTATGATGTCTCCAGTTAAAATATTATTATTATTCAGTATGATATATATTAATTAATATCATAGTATAATTAGATGAAAAGAAAAAAATGTGTTCATTTTTTCTCAAAAAATTGGAAAATTTTTATTTTTATTTAAGCTAGAATGTTGTTCTTTTTATTTGATTCATGAATTCACTATTAAAGCCACTAGATATACATATATGTCAATACTAAGATTTTTAAAATAAGGTAGGTATGCATTTATGCCATCAACATTGTATTTAATCTATTTATGTAGAAATATTAATTAAATAACTCAGAGCTAAAATGTAAGAATCTATGGTGATACCAATTGCTATTTTCATTATTAAGATAATAAAAATTACTTTGAAATAAAAATAATCATCACTAAGAAGATAGTGTGTTATAATATATGCAAAAAAATCATG